AAAAACTCCAATAAGTAGCAGCTACCATTTGTTGACCTCCAAAGTAGTAAAGAATTTTGCATTGCAAACAATAACATAAGTTGAAATTTGGCCTCCTCTCGCTGCCGCCGCCGCCGGAGTCGCCCAGCCCTGGGCCTGTCCCCGTGCCCTCGCGCCATGAGTGCCTGGCCGAGCGTCCCCGCAGGATTGCACCTCCCCTGGGGGCTGGCCCTGCTGCTGCTGCTCGCGTGTCCCCGGGCTGTGCGCGGTAAGTAGGGTCCGGGACCAGCGGGGCTGGTTCCGCCCCGAGGCTGTGTGGGAGGGGCCTGGGAGGTGCCGCCCGGGGGCGACCGCGTTGGTGCCCCTGGAAGAGGAGCTCGGCTGCTGACCAGCACGTGGGGGTCGCGCTAGGCCGGCCCCCAGTTGGCGGGGCTTTTAGGGTAGGTGCAGAGGGCGGAGGACCCGCGGGATGAGTCTGCGGAACTTGGAAGGGAGGGCCCAAACTGTGAGTTCCGAACCCCGCAAACAGCTCTACTTTTTAAGCGCTAAGGCTCAGAGCTGCGCACTCCCGCCTGACTCAGCACAGACTAGCGGGGTGCACCACCGGGCGTCCAAGCTCACATGTTCTCTCGAGCAGTTCTAAGCCAACCCTCCCCCCCTCTTTTTTTTTTTTTTTTTTAATTTAAATTCGCTTGAGGGTGGTACACTCGCCCGCCTGAGAGGCAGAGAAAGAGAAGTGAAAAAGCACTCCCCAGAGGGAACCAGCAGTTAGCGTAATGGTTATGTCGCTGGATTCCCACGTAGTCAACCGCGGTTCGCGTACCAGACCCGGTGGCTTTCGCGTGTGCGTGCGTGCCCAAGATCCCGAGAGGATAATGGAGGAGAAGGGATTGCGGCGTGACCATCCCCCTTGGGGGGTCATTTCTCGCTTTCTGTCTGTATGTCTCTCTCTGTCTGTCTGGCGAGCGCACGAGCCCTATAGCGAAAATCTCTCCAAAAAATAAAAAGAAAAAAAAAGCACTCCCCAGGTGGGGTACCCACGTTGCACCCTTTTGTTAGCATTTTGGGCGCGCGAGCATGTGTGTTTGTGAAACCACCGTCCCGGGACTCCAACCCGGCAGTTGGCCATGTGGGATCCAGCTGCCTCAACCACCGCCACTGGCTTTTTTTTTTTTTAATCAGACGGAGGAGTTTATTTGCTCTCCACCCGGTTCATTCTTGAATTAATTGACAAGACACTAGGCCTAACAAGGGCTCGGTATGACTATTCAACACCGGGTGGAAACGTCCCCCCCCCTTTTTTTTTTTTTTTTTTTTTTACTGCTTCCTTTATTCTCCGTCTGTGGAAGGGTGTTGCTCAGAATTGAAAACGCGCTGGGAGGGGTTCTGGGGAAGAAACACTGAACCGACAGAAAGAAGAATGTGAAATTCTCTGTTGCAATGCCGTGTATGACTTGATTGTCACATACTGCCTGCATGCTTTGAAAACGATATATTGTGTGCTATAGAGATGTGCAATGACTGACTATAAATAAGAAATCATAAAATTTTAAAAAAAGAAAAGAAAAAAGCGCTATTTCTTTAGTTCTGCTTTTCCTCCCCAGGTGACTGTGGCCTTCCCCCAGATGTACCTAATGCCCAGCCAGATTTGGGAGGTTCTACGAATTTTTCTGAGGGACATGTGTTAACATACAGATGTAATGAAGGCTTTGTAAAAGTCCCTGGCATGCCAGACTCAGTGACCTGTGTTAATAATAAGTGGTCAGATCTTGGAGAATTCTGTAATCGTAAGTTCTTAGTTCTTTTTGGAAAGTTGTGGGAAGGGAATGCCTCTTACTCAGTTTGGTATCTCTTCAGAGTGGCTGGTAATTGACAGTTTTCTGGGCGGATTCTGTAATGGTAAGTGCTTCGGTTCTTTTTGGAAAGTTGTGGGAGTGGACTGCATCTTGTTCGGTTTGGCATGTCTTCAGAATGGCTGGTAATTGATAGTTTTCTAGCATTGAGCCCCAGGGGTATACCTTGGCACTTAATACCCCTGCTAATTGAAGGCATTTCTTCCTAACACTGCCTCCTGAACCGACTAATAAAGAAAATAAACAGCGGGTACTGTTTAGGGAGTAGATTATGTATGAACGAATTTGGCGATTACCTAGAGACACGTAACATAGGTGAACTGGTTTTTTTAACATTTTATTTGGTAAAGTGGGACTTTCCAAGTACAACTCTAGTGGCATTTTAAAAGCTTTCTGTATTGGTTTCAAAATCGGTTGTTCCATAGTTCTATATTGACTTTGAGGTCATACAAGAAAAAGGAAAAAGGAAGACTTGATTCCTGCCTTTGAGCAAGTTGGATCAGTGGGAGCTACAGTAAATACAGAAATTGCCTCAACTACTTCTATGAGATGGACTTTTAACTTTGTATCTTTTTTTTTTCCTATGATAGAAGGCAGTAGACAAAGTGCATAGGCCTCCGCACGTGTATTGCGTGTTAGTTTATCTTTGTATGTATGTCACGTTTGACATTTTATCTTTGCCACGTGTGCCACGTTTTAGAGTTTATAACTCTTCTGCCTGTGTTATTTTATTTAATCCTCCAAACAACCCAATGAGACATTGGTGCTGACAAGCACTTGCTAGGCCTTGTGTCTTGTCAGTTAATTAAAGACTAAGAAAGTTGAGAGCAAATAAACCCCTCCCCACTCATTATTTTAAAAACAAAACAAAGCAAAACAAAACGTGGTTTAGGATTTATTGCGGTGACATGGAAGTTTGCAGTGCCAGTGCTGCACCTGACTGGCCTCCATGTTGAGAGGTGACTGATGTAAGGCCCCCCAAAGCTAAGTAACTTCAAACTTGGGCCTTTTGACTATAAATTTAATGTCCCTGGCACTATGTGATAGCGCTCTTGATAAACATTTGCCGGGCCGCTTATAGTTTGTAAGTACTTATGTTCATAATTGGGTCACCTGATCCTTTTCCCCATGGATCATGGGGATCTGCGGGAGTTTTATATGTGTAAAACATTTAATAGTACACAGTGAGTATTAGCTATTATATTGTTACTGTTATGCAGGCTGTAACTCCAGGGGTCTGGCAATACCTGTTCTGTGATACAGAATCTCCCTGTGACACATGGTGCTGTGTAATTCTTTAGGGCAGTGGAAAGGTGCTACCATTTATTGAGTGCCAGAACTGTGCCAGGTAACGTAAATGGGTTATGCTTTTGAAGAGCAGATAGCGATGTGTAGATAGAAGCAAACGGACTTCGTAGGCCAGTAGTAACTAGCAAAGGGAAGTACGCGTGCGAATACCTTTGAGACATTGCAAATGGTAGAGTAATAATGATATATTTAAATATGTGTTAAGAGGTAAAGAAAAGGGGCCGTTTTAAGAACTAGGTAATTCTAGGTAATTAAAACAATTTTTCTTGTGTTTCTTTTTTTGCTTTTGTTAACTTTTAGGTAGCTGTGAAGCGCCACCCAGGCTAATTTACGCTTCACTCAAAAAGCCTTTCAGCGAGCAGAATAGTTTCCCAGTGGGGTCCACTGTGGAATATGAGTGCCGTTTGGGCTACAGGAGGGACCCGTCTAAATCACCAAGACTAACTTGCCTTCAGGATTTAACATGGTCCACACCAGGTGAATTCTGTAAAAGTAAGTATAATTTTAAAGTGTTCCCAATCGTTTGCTGTTTGAGGAAATAGTATCTCTCCCTGTGTTTGTGCTCAATCTCTTTTGTGTTATTCACAGTGATTTTTAAAAGAACCATGAGAATCAGATTATTTTTAATTAGACAAAATAGATGATAAAAATACTTACCCACACATTTCACATTTAATTCATTTGAGGTTACCTAAAACAAAACAAGTATATAGTCTAAGTATGCTAGGTTTTATTCTTTAACTTATAAATGAAGTCTAAGAATAAGAAAGGGTTCAGATGATGATTTGCATATATATACTTAGGATTCTTTTTAAAAGATTTTTGCTATAGAGTACATGCATTCACCAGTCACAGAGATAGACAGGGAAAGCAAGAAAGTTACCCCTCTGCCCAGAGGGTGGATCACCACACTGCAGTCCTCCATTTTCGTGGGATTTGGGGTATACATGTACACACACCCAGTGTTTTTCACACCACCGGGTCTAGGACTTGAACCAAGTAGTCAGCCATGTGGGACCCAGCTGCCTTAACCACTAGGCTACCTGCTGGCCCCTATGCCTGGTAATCTTTTTTTATAAGTATTTTATTTAAGTATGTGTGTGTGTGTGTATTTTTTTTAATAGAGAGGTTTTTGCTATAGGGCCTGTGTACTCGCCAGAGAGAGACAGAAAGTGAGAAATCATCCCCCAGGGGAGTTGGCCATGCCACAATCCCTTCTGCATTCTCCTTTCAGGATCTTAGGCATGCATGCACATGTGCCTGGCATGAGTTTAAGCCACCAGAATCGGGACTCGAACCGTGGCTGATTACATGGGAATCCAGCATCCTGAACTACTACAGCACCTATTTATTTATGTTTTAATTTGACCAGAGAGGGACAGAGTGAGAGAGGAGAGAGAGAGAAAGAAATCAAGTCCAGGACTCAAACTGCGGTCGGCCATTTGGGAGTCCAGTGCCCTCAACCACCGCACCATTTGCTGGCCCTTTTATCCTCGTAATCTTTTTTACATTGCGAAATGATTAGCTGGTTGATTTAATGATTTAAGCTAATCAGTATACTTGCCACTTTAAATGTTACCTTTTTATTATTTGGATCTGATAATTTAATGAAAAAAAAAATCCATTTGTATTTCCTTGTAGAAAAATCATGTCCTAATCCTGGAGATCTAACAAATGGTGTGGTCAACATACAGACTGACATACTGTTTGGTTCATCCATCACCTTCTCGTGTAACGAAGGGTAAGTTTTGCATCCTGGAACTCTGTATTTAAAAAGTGAAAAGGCAAGTTCAGATTTAAAATGCAGAATGTTAAATTTGTGTGTTTACTGGTTGGTAGCAACTGAAATAATCCTTCTCTTTAAAGATCCTTTATTATGAGTTAACTTTGGTAAAATGGGGAAAGAAAAGAAAATCAGTTGTATCAACTAGTTCTCTAAATTGTTATTTATTTTTATATAGAGAGATTTTTGCTATAGGGCATGTGTACTCGCTGGAGAGAAAGAGACAGAAAATGAGAAATCACCCCAAGAGGGGAATGGCCATGCTGCAATCCCTTCTCTCAGGAATTTGGGCATGTATGCACACATGCCCAGTGTGAGTAGTTTTAAGCCACCAGGTCTGAGACTGGAACTGTGGTGAACTATGTTGAAGTCCAGCTACGTAACCATTATGCCATCTGCCCTAGTTCTCTAAAATTCTTAAATTACAGTACTTATGTGATTTAATACAAAGTTTTACATATGATTAATAGAGAAAAAAAATTTGAGATATGTTGGTAGTACTTGTACAAAGACCAATCCTCCAAGCATTAATGTAAAACCAATTTTCTTTCTTTTTTTAAAATAATGTTAAGTTTTTGTTTGTTTGTTTGTTTGTTTTGGAGAGGTTTTTGCTATAAGGTGCGTGCACTCGCCAGAAAGACAGAGAGAGAGAGAGACAGAAAGCGAGAAATCACCCCCCCAGGGGGGATGGCCACGCCACAATCCCTTCTCCTCCATTCCCCTCTTGGGATCTTGGGCATGCACACACACACGCCCAATGTGAGTTTTAAGCCACAGGGTCCAGGACACGTACTGCAGTTGACTACATAGAGTCCAGCGACATAGCCATTACGTTAACTGCTGGTCCCACGTTAAGTTTTTTTTTTTTATTTTTTTAATTTTTTTTAGACCAGAGAGGGACAGAATAAGAGAAAGAGAAAGTGAGATAGCAAGCCACCTGGTCCAGAACTAGAACCATGGTCAGCCATGTGGGAGTCCAGCATCCCACCCACCACACCACCTGCTGCCCACATCTTTCTTTTTTTTTTTTTTTTAATTTTAAAATTTTGCCATGGGGTGTATGTGCTTTCTGGAGAGAAAGAGAGGAAAAGTGAGAAATCACGCTGTAGTTCCTTCTCTACCATTTTTTCTCTCTGAATTTTGAGCTCGCACATATGTACCTGGCAAAATTTTCAAGCTGCAGGGTCCTGGAGTTGAACCATGTATTTAGCCATGTGTGATCTAGCTGCCTTAACTGCCATGCCACCTCCTGGCCCGAAATCAATTTTTTTTAAGAGAGATTTTTGCTGTAGAGTGCATGTGCTTGCCAGAGAGACAGAAAGAGGGAAAGTGAGAAATCATCTCCCAGGAGGAGATAAACACACTGTAATTCCTTCTCCTCCTTCTCGTGCCTCTCGAGATTTTGGGCACGCACGCACACACGCACACATATGCCCCTGGCGTGAGTTTCAGGTGCTGCATCCAGGACTCAGACCATAGTTGGCCATGTGAAATTCCAGCACCTTAACCCCTGTGTCACCTACTGACCCCCGAATCCAATTTTTAATTGAGCTAAATAATGGCTTTATATATGGATTTTTGTTTGTTTTCTTTTTTTTTCTCTTATTTTGTTTATTTTTTTACAATTAAAGTATGGATTTATTTTGGTACAAAAACTTTTTGAAATTCATACATGATTTTCCTATTGAACATATTTCCATGAACTTTTTTTTTCTGAAACTTTTTTTTTATTAATTTACATTCATTCCCTAAGCATCATCACAGCATACAAAATGTGATTTCCCATCCAGAATATACTGCATAGTGGCTTAATCATGCATGTTATCATCAGTAATTTTCCATTCCTAGTTTTTTACATATATATGTGTGTGTGTATATATGTACACACACACACATATATATATATATATAAGTTTAGCTGGTAATTTCAAGAAAAGCAGTTTTAACTTTAATAAATCAAAGAACTGCTGAGGAACTTTGCTTAAAACTTAAAGCCAGGAAACAAATTAGGATTCTGTTCAAATGGTAGGTACATGAACCTGTCGACAGCTCAAGACAGGACAGAAATCCTTAAAACCAGACAACAAAGCCTAGAAGAAAATGAGTAATGTTTTAGTCAAAAGTCATAAAATGCTATTTCACCAGTTCAGTCTCATGTACTTAATCTATCTTCTGTTGTGGTTCAATCTTTCCGATTAAATTCTGGGATACAATATTCAACTCCAGACTTGTCCCTACGATTAGGTTGGCCATTTTCTTAGTTTTTGAACTCTTATTTCTGTGTGTCTATATTTAATTTTCCTGATACAACACTCTCTTGAGAAATTCTTGGAGATCTGGTCTGGTGTTGGTAAATTCTTTTAGTTTTTGTTTATCTGAGAATGTTGTTTTTTCTTCCCATTTGTTTGTTTTTGCTGTAGGCCATGTGTGCTCACTGGAGAAACAGAGCAAGTGAGAAAGTACCCCCACCCCCCGGGTACTTCTGTTCTCTCAGAATTTCGGGTACACACACACTCACACGTGTGCATACACACACACACACACACACACACACTCTCCTAGCAAGTTCTTCATGCCACCACGTTCGAGACTTGAACTCCTCCATTGGCCACATCATCCAACTACTTCAACCTCCATGCCACACCCACATTTGGGTTTTTTCTATATGAAAAAACTATTGCGAAATATTATGGGTTAAAAACATTCCTAGTGTGAAAATTTCATTCTAGCCTAAAGGTCTTTTGTAGTTCTCTATGTGGTAAAAAAAAAGGAACTCACTCATAGAAAACCATCGATATCTAAAGCACTGTTGAAAATCTTACCTTCGCTCTCTAATTTAATATCAGCAAATTAAATTATGCTATTTTACTCTGTGTGTACGTGTGTTTCCCTGTTCTTCCGACTGTTGCTGTGCAGCAGCGGGTAGACAGCAGACAGCAAACAAGCGTCCTTTGTGTTTGCAGCCACTCCCATCACTGGCATTGACACCTGGGCTCTGCCCTCTCAGATCAGCGGTGGTATTTGATTCTCATGGGAGTGCGAACCCTATTTGATGATTTCATTGTGTGTTACAACATGGTGGTGGTGGAAAGGGGGTACACAGTGGATGTGATGTGCTTGCGTCATCATAGGACCAGTCCCTCAACCCCATCCATGGAGGGGTTGCCTTCCACAAGGCTGGTTCCTGGTGCCCAGAAGATTGGAGACACGACTTTAGACAATATAAGTATTAGTATCACTTATCTCCTCTAGTAAACAGAGATGTCAGTTGCATCATTAATATAAATCTAGAGGGTACTTTGAACTCTTTAGATATACGTACATTCTATTATTCCATGAGTCAGCTTGTACTGATCTTTTAGAACCCAGAAATATAAAATATTCAATTATCTATAGTATTATTATTATTTTAGGTTTTTGCCATAGAGTATGTGGGCTTGCCAGAGAGAGATAGAACAGGAAAGTGGGAAATCACCCCCCTTCTCCATTTTTTCTGGGATTTTGGGTATGTATGAATGTGATTCCCACCAAGTCTGGGACTGGAACCACAGTCAGTCATGTGAGAGTCCAGCACCTTAACCACCATGCTACCTGCTGGCTCCTGGATATTACCTTTTTAAACCTAATATTATTCTTTAACTTTAAAATGTCAAATAGGTGGAACCAGCAGATAGCGTAATGGTTGGGTCATTAGACTCCCATGTAGTCAACCATTGTTTGAGTCCTGGACCCAGTGTCTTAAAACTCATGCCGGTCGCATGTGCATGTGCACCCAAAATCCTGAGTGGAGAATGGAGGAGCTGGAATTGTACAGCCATCCTCCTGAAGGTGATTTCTCACTTTCTGTCTCTCTGTCTCTGTCAGGTGAGTACACGCACCCTATAGCAAAAATCTCTCTTAAAAAAATGTCAAATGGATTTTATCAGCTGTTTTGTCTCCATCTACTAGTGTAGTAAACATTTTAAAAGGATAATCTAGAGAATTTGAAGAAAGTGAAATATTTGTGAGAATAACTCGAACTTTATTTCATCTCCTCACTGCTTTAGGTATAAATTACTGGGTCCGTCTACTAGTTTCTGTGTTATTTTGGATACAAATGTCGGGTGGAGTGAAAGCATGCCAGTGTGCACAGGTAAGACTTTAAAAATCTAAGCCCTCAAGTTGTGAGGCTGAATAATGTACGGTAAATTGCTTCCTGTTCATTGAGCATTATGCAGAGTGTGTATAGTACCCTGCCCCGTGAATACAGGAGTGGCTTTGATCATTCGAAGACCTTTTCTTATGTTCTTTGTGATGTTAGCTCTGGAGATAAATCAAAGTTTTCTTGCTCCTCAGTATCCTTCGGTGTAGAATGAGAATTAAAATCAAATGTAGGTTTATATTGTGTTTGGTCACTAATCACCTATGCATTCTTTCTAATGGTCAAGTAAGATTGGGGATTTTTCTACCCCATGATTTTATGGAAGAAAATATTTTCTTTCCTTTTTTTTTATTTTTTTTTTTATGCTAGAGGGTATGTGCTATCACCAGAGAGAGACAGAGTCAGAGAAAGGGAGAGGAGAAAGCATCTCCCATGGAGAAGGGACTTACCATAGTCCCTTCTCCATGTTAGGACACACATGTATTTACAAGCCACCCAATCCGGGACTCACGCTGCACCACTGGCCATATGGAATTTGCTCCCTTAACCATGAGGCCACGGAGCTGGCCCATGAAGAAAATACTTTGAGTCAGAGAGCATATGACTTGCTCCCACATCCTAACACAGGTGACAGTAGAAGGCATTCAACCCAGGTCTCTGATTTCAAACCCCTCATTTTTCTTAGAATCAGTGTTGTTTACATACCTCTTTTCAGGATTATAATTGTTAACTGAGATAATTAGAAGTGTTTTAAAGTGCGGCATATTTTTTCATTGAAGAAATGAGGTGGTCCAATGAAGAAGTAATAGATTTCTGCACTTGAAAAATTATAACTTCTGGGAACCAGCAGTTAGCGTAATGGCTATGTCGCTGGACTCCCACGTAGTCGACCGCGGTTTGCATCCCGGACCTGGTGGCTTAAAACTCACGCCGGGCGCGTGTGCATGCGTGCCCAAGATCCCGAGAGGAGAATGGAGGAGAAGGGATTGCGGCGTGACCATCCCCCCTGGGGGGTGATTTCTCGCTTTCTGTCTCTATGTCTCTGTCTGTCTGGCGAACGCATGCGCCCTATAGTGAAAAACCTCTCAAAAAAAAAATTATAACTTCTCAAAAGAAGATACGGCACAGAAATAATATCCTAAATAATGAGTATATCCAGTCAAATTTATGGCTCAGGAGACACAGATCCTGAAAATGGAGTAGAGTAAAATATATGCAACTTTTACAAATTTTTTGAGAGGGAATTTTTCTATAGGGTGCATGCACTCGCCGGAGAAACAGACAGATAGCCACTAATCACCCCCCCAGGGGGATGACCATGCTGTAATCCTTTGTCCTCCATTCTCTCAGGATCTTGGGCACGTACACACAAGCACCCAGTATGAATTTTTTGTTTCTGTTTTGAAAGGTTTTTGCTATAGGGCATGTACACTCTCCAGAAAGACAGAGACAGAAAGTGAGAAATCAACCCCTGTGAAGATGGCCATTCTGCAATCCCTTCTCCTCCAATCTCCTCTCAGGATCTTGGGCACGAATGCACATGTGCCCAGTGTGAGTTTAAGCCACTGGGTCCAGGACTCAAACCACGGTCTACTCCATGGAAGTCCAGCAACATAGCCATTACTCCAACTGCTGGTCACCCCAGCATTAATTTTAAGCCGCCAGATCTGGGACTTGAACCACAGTCAACTATGTGGGAGTCCAGCGACATAACCATTACACCATTTGCTAGTTTCAAATGCAACATTTTTTTTTAAGTAGTTTTTGCTATAGGACATGTGCGCTTGCCAGACAGACAGAGACAGAGACACAAAGCGAGAAATCACCCCCCCCAGGGGGGATGGCCACACCGCAATCCCTTCTCTTTTCTCCTCTCGGGATCTTGGGCACGCACGCACACACGCCCAGCGTGAGTTTTAAGCCACCGGGTCCGGGACACGAACCGCGGTCGACTACGTGGGAGTCCAGCGACATAGCCATTATGCAAACTGCTGGTCCCTCAAATGCAACATTTTTAAAGGTAGGTTTTGTTACTCCCATCCTTTGGTTTTTCTACTTCCATCATTTGGTTTTTCTATACCCAACTTATCCTTGGAAAACCCTACTATCAAAATTATTGCTAAGTTTAAGTCTTCTGTATTATTAGGAGCAGAAAACTAGAGTAGTTTTTTGTTGTTGTTGTTGTTTTTTAAAGAATTAGTTAATTTTATTTTAATTTGACCAGAGAGGAACGGAGAGAGAGAGAGAAAGTAAGAAACCAAGATTCGGGACACGAACTGCTGGGAGTCCAGCGCCCTTAACCACTGTGCCACCTGCTGGTCCCAACTAGAGTGGTTTTCTAGTGTTTTAAATTAGCATAACTTACTAAGCATTTATTGATTGATACGCCGTAGTATGAAATGTGGGTTAACTGATGTGAAGACAGCCTAAAGCCTTCATCAGGAGCCTATTCTTCTAGATCTACAACTTTTCCCTCATTACCATTCTTCTTAAATCTTCATCATTGCTACCCATAACTACCTTTCCCATTTCTACTATCCAATACGAGATATGTAAATGATACTAAACTAGAGATGGAAAGCAAGGAGAAGGTGGACCCCGCCTCCTCCTGGCTCAGGCATCGGATCACAAAGTCTGGGCAAACAGGCTCCCAGACTGAAGCCGGCATTTTCACAAGCAACTGCTGTGGTGAATTTTGTAGCAGTGTGGGTACTGAGCACATAGCCTAACCAGAGGAGCATTTACGCTGCAAACCCACGTTGTCTTTGCTTGTTCGTGTCTAGGCCATGGTCCTGCTCCCAATTTTGGTGTTTTGAACTGGATGGTGCATATCTCAGTGTTCAGGTTTCCCTCTTGAATGCTTTTATCCCTCTCTCCTATTCTGTAACCATCTACACCTGACTTCTTCTGGGAAGTGCCCCCTCTTCCTAAATAACCTCTTAGCCTGCTTCCTCTAGCTAGATCTAGTCTCGATTTTCTACGTAACTTACTTGTCTGTTTTGACAATACTAAAAAGATAGATTTGGGAAGTAGCTTCAACAGTGAGCTGTTTTACTGTAGGTATACAGCCTTGGCCTATATATAGACACATGAATTGATGTCTGTGACTATGGATAAGGAGATATGGATGTAAAGAAGGAAAGAACTAGGGGGACCAGCAGTTAGCGTAATGGCTATGTTGCTGGACTCCCATGTAGTTGACTGCAATTTGTGTCCAGGTGGCTTAAAACTCACGCCAGGCACGTTTGCGTGCGTGCCCAAGATCCTGAGAGGAGAATGGAGGAGAAGGGATTGCGGCGTGGCCATCCCCCCTGGGGGGGTGATTTCATGCTTTCTGTCTCTCTGTCTCTGTCTGTCTTGCAAGCGCATGTGCCCTATAGCAAAAACCTCTCAAAAAAAAAAAAAAAAGAAGGAAAGAACTAGGAACATTTTTGAGAACTCTCCTTATACGTCAAACAGAGGTGGCACTTGTTTACCTCTTAAGGAAGCCTCACTATCTGAACCACATACTTTTTGTCTCTCTGCCCATATTTTCTTTTTCAAAATTAATTTCAGGTGACTACTGTTACCTTCTGGCCTGAATCAGTGCATGCTATAGAATAAGTCTTATTTTAGACCTCTCTCTTTACCTTGACTCCTGTCTCACTAATCATTCAACATTTTGCTTTCCCTCCTGAGTATACCCTCCGTGTCTGTTACTTCTGACAGTTTATTTCCGTTAATCTTGATGTTTGCAATCGGGACCACCTCTGACATTTTCAGCACCTGGGCAAGAATATAAATGGAGATTCCTGACCTAAGACTCACCCTGTCTCACATAGACCTCCTCATTCCCATAGTGTAGGGAGTGGGGTCCTCTCTGATGTACCTCACATATGTATACAGCTTAGCTATACACACATACATGCATAGATTAGCTACACACACATACGTGCACAGCTTGGCTACACACATGTAAGTGCACCGCTTGACTCTGCACATAGGTGCACAACTTAGCTACACACGTGTAAGTGCACAGCTTAGCTATGCTCCCAGGTCATGTCCACCATGACCACATGATCCTTATTCCAATTCTTTTGTACTTCAGATTAGAAAGGTAAGTATATCAGCAGTGTAGACCACCCTTGGGAATATGGACCGGTGAGGGGACTTTCCAAGTCTTGGAAGGGCTGTTGGCACCGAGTTCTGGATGCTAGTTTCTGGAACATGTTCTAGAATGGAGAAAAGGGTAGTAAGATGCCCTGCCATTGAGTACATCCTCCTAGCCCATTCAGATAACCCACTTAGTGGGGAGAGACACATCAAGGGGAGACCCACAGCTCAGGATTTTAAAGTGTGGGGCCTAGGTAGGAGTCTTGATTGCCTCAGTTCAAGGGTCATACTGAGGCAATGGGGTGGTCTATGCTGCTGACATATGCACATTTCTAACATATTAGTGTCAGGCTAGCCAGTGGTGCGGTGCTTATAGCAGCTGGATCCCACATGACCAAATATGTGGTTCGAGTCCTATGCCTGGCAACTTGAAAAACAGTGCTTGGTGCATGTACATATGTGCCCAAAGACCCAACAGAGGGAGAAATGGATTAGAAGGGATTGTGGCATGACCATTCCCCATGGAAGATGCTTTCTTGTATTTCTACGGTCTGTCTGATGAACACATGCACCCTCTGTTAACATTTTAAAAATGTGGAGACCAGCAGGTTGACATAATGGTTACGTCACTGGACTCTCATGTAGTTAACTACAGTTCAAGACCTGGATCCGGTGACTTAAACCTCATGCTGGGCATGTGTGCGTGTGTGCCCGCCCAAAATCCTGAGTGGAAAGTGAAGGAGAAGGGATTGTGGCGTGGCCATCCCTCCTGGGGGGGTGATTTCTCACTTTCTGTCTGTCTCTCTGGCAAGCACATACGTGCCCTACAGCAAAAATCTTTCTCTAAAAATTTTTTTTCTTTTTTTTTGGAGAGGTTTTCACTATAGGGCGCTTGCCAGACAGACAGAAAGCGAAAATCACCCACCAGAGGGGATGGTCACGCCGCAATCCCTCCATTCTCCTCTTGGGATCTTGGGCACGCACGCACACGCGCCTGGCGTGAGTTTTAAGCCACCGGGTCCGGGACGCGAACTGCGGTCGACTACGTGGGAGTCCAGCGACATAGCCATTACGCTAACTGCTAGTTTCCATCTCTAAAAATTTTTTTTCTTAAATGTGTACACATTAGTATGTCCTTTCACTTACAAAGCTCAAACTCTGTAGCATAGTGTGCAGGGCTTGCACCGTCTGCCTACTTACTCTTCCACACTTCACAGCCTTCCCTGCTACTAGTCCCCTGTGTACCTCACTGTTTTTCATGACCCTCTTCATTCCTTGTGTCGCTGCCTCAGCCTGAGAAGTCTTTCAACCCTTTCATTACTTGTCTGTATTGTCCTCATTGGAATGGAGCTCCTAGTCCTTTGGGAAGACTTCCCAGGCTGGTAAACCACCCTTCCCCTCTCTTCCTATTCCACTTACATCCTTCTGTGATATTCCTCACATTTTGTATTGAAATGATCTCTTTTGTATCTCTTTCCTCACTAAATTTTAAGACATAGGAACTGTCGTTCCTTGTACTTTAAGACATAGACACTTCAATTTTGCAATTTCGTTTATAGAATGATGTCTGATAGGAGGTACTTGAAAAGTTTGAACTGAACTAATAGTTCTGGTATAGGTCATGGCATACCACAATTTAGTGTCAATTGGCATAACTTATTGTTTCTCCTTGCTTCCATCAGTTTTCTAATATATTTTGGGTGCTTAAGTACATTCGGTGTCATATAATTTGAGATACACATGTGATAGCGATGCTTTTCTGCTTTGAAAAAAAAAAAAAGAAAACTTCATGATTCTTGAGCATGTGGAGCCATTGAATATTTAATTAGGGCAACTGCCTGGGACAGTTTCTTTTTGTAATTTAAGTAGAGTAACTCTACTTGGTTTACAAATAGAGCTGCTCAGTAAGATTTATTTTGAATGAGTCTCTGGAAGTCAATACATGCTCAACATTTTTTTGCTAAAAGATAAAGTGTCATCCTGACATTTAAGATATTTTGCTTTATCAAAAATAATCTGTACTTATTTTTCAAGCATACTCCTTGAATCCCCAAATCCTCTTGTTTGATATCATTTTCCTTGTGGGATAAAGAGCAGTAGTCTCTATTCTGTCTTGGAAGATGGGTGAGTCTTGGGTTTAAACTCATCCCACCCGCTACCTCACTTTTTCCCTATGTCACCTCTGGACTGCAGCATGTCCTTTTTCAAGCATGTTTGAGTAATGTGTGCACAATTCTTATTTCACATATGTGTTCTAAATCTGGGAACAGATTTATGGATAAATTTAAATTGGTACCCATGGGACTTAAGGTTAGCACTCACATTCTAAGGCATTTGCATTCAAAGCTTCAAATATCTTACATATCATGTAATAGGCTTTTATAGGTATACTTCGCTGATAATGTTGAACGTAGAAAAATGATAGGTTTTGATATTTTTAATGAAATCTTTGACGTGTTTTATTATTTATAAAAATAACCTGCCAATTTTAATTATTTAAAAGATGTTTTTTTTTTTAAGTTATTTATTGCCCACAACCATCAAAAATTGAAAATGGATTTATCCTAAATGAAGTTGAAACTTACTCATATAGCCAGACTGTAACGTACAGATGTAATAAAGGCTTCACTATGGTTGGAGAACACACTCTCTATTGTACGGCAAAAAATGATGAAGGACAATGGAGTGGCCCACCACCCATGTGCAGAGGTAATCAGTTTGCATAGTTATGTTTTTGCTTTATTCTTATCCTTGCATCTGTATATGGGTTGGAGAAATTCTATAAACTCCCTGGGAATATAAAATGTTGAACATATACATATTTGTATTTTTCTATGGAGCACAGTTTTTTATATATGTATACACGACATGTATAGGTTGTTCTTTTTGGAGAGGTTTTTGCTATAGGGTGCAAGCACTCACCAGAAAGACAGAGATAGAGACAGAAAGCGAGAAATCATCCCCCAAGAGGGATGGCCACACCACAGTCCCATCTCCTCCATTCTCTCAGGATCTTGGGTACGCACACACATGCGCTCAGTGTGAATTTAAGCCACTGGGTCTGGGACTTGAACTGTGGTCGACTACGTGGTAGTCCAGCGACATAGCCATTATGCCAACTGCTGGTCCCATATAGGTTATTATATGTCTCATTTTTAGTGTATTTGCTTACATTTGTCAGTTCATACCATGTGATTTTCAGTAAGTTAATATAAACATTTTGTTTATACAAAGAATATAAACTGATTTATAAAATTGGAGGGAGAATCTTAAATTGAACTGAGGGCTGTAGGGAGTGATGACACAAGTTGTGACAGCTGAGAAGATCTTGGTTAGTTATTGATATTACTGAATTTCATATTTTCTGCCCCCAGAATTTATCTCTGTTTTTGGACTATTCTCTTTTCATCCTTCAGCACTACTCAATACTGTCTTACAGAGAGTTTGCTCAAAGGCAAACAGGCTCTGAAAACCTATTACACTGCTATGTTGATAGATTTGTGATTCTCAGAACATATTCCTAATGGATATTTCACATGATTTGTTTTCTGGCCTAAAATCTCAAGAGGGACTAAACTAACAGATATAAAGTTGGTAACCAGCACAAGAGGAGAAAAAGGAGTTATTTTTACTCATGCTGACATTATTTTTAAAAAGAAGGGAAACAAAACAAGTTCCCAAGCTCACTTACATGTTCTGAAGTCCTTGAAAGAAGTAAACTGGTTGACATCTTCATCGATCCAGTGATTACATCCTGTCATTTTTTGATTAAGGGGTGAGCTAAAAAGGAAATTAGAGAGAAAATTAGAAAGGCATGTCATAGAATGAAATTGCTGTCGTTTCCTTTTTTTCCACACAGAAAACAGCGGAAGTATTTCAATGGTACTTTATTAATCTGCTTTAGTCCACTGTAGGTATACTTTATATCAAAGCAAGAGTGATGTAGCATTCTAGCTCCTTGAGAAATACCCAATAAGACTTGATTTCTTTTTCTATAGATTTTTAAATTAAAAAATTTTAATTTATTCATTCATTTATTTTAATTTGACCAGAGAGAAACACAGAAAGAGAGAGAGGGAAAGCGAGAAAGCAAGTCACCAGGTCCAGGACTTGAACTGTGGTCAACCATGTGGGAGAGTCCAGCACCACCATGCCATCTGCTGGTTCCCAAGACTTGACTTCTTAAAATCATATCTAGGTAGTCATAGGGAGAGAAAACAGAATAACCACATAGTAAGCAATTGTTAAGAAATCATCACTCAGCAATATTTAGCTAATTCTTTTCCTCAACCTTTTTCTTCCACAGGAAAATCTCCACCTCTTCCTGGTATCACAACAACAGTTCAGAAACCTACTACAGGGAAAGATCCATCTACAGTGACTTCACCAACTACTCAAAAACCTACTACAGGAAGTGCTCCAGGTACAGAAACTCCAACAACTACTCAAAAACCTACTACAGGAAATGCTCCAGGTACAAAAGCTCCAACAACAACTCAGAAACCTACCACAGTAAATGTTCCAGGTACAGAAGCTCCACCCAAACCTCAGAAACCCACCACAGTAAACGTTCCAGCTACAAGAGTCTCACCAACACCTCAGAAACCCGCCACAAGAGTCTCACCAACACCTCAGAAACCCGCCACAGTAAACATTCCAACTACAGGAGTCTCACCAGCTCCTCAGAAACCCACCACAGTAAATGTTCCAGCTACAGCAGTTCCACCAACACCTCAGAAACCCACCACAGTAAACGTTCCAATTACAAGAGTCTCACCAACACCTAAGAAATCCACCACAGAAAAGGTCCCAGCTACACGAGTCTCACCAACACCTCAGAAACCCACTATAGTAAACGTTCCATCTACAGGACTTTCACCGACACCTCGGAAATCCACTGTAGTAAATGTTCCATCTACAAGAGTCTCAACAACACCTCAGAAATCCAATTCAGTAAATGTCCCAGCTACAGGAGTTACACCGACACCTCAGAAACCCACTATAATAAATGTTCCATCTTCAGGAATCTCACCAACACCTCAGAAATCTAATACCATAAATGTTCCAACTACAGGAGTCTCACCAACACCTCAGAAACACACTGTAGTAAACACTTCAGCCACAGGAGTCTCACCAACACCTCAGAAATCTAATACCACAAATGTTCCAACTACAGAAGTCTCAACAACATTTCAGAAACCCACTAAAATAAACACTCCAGCTACAGGAGTCTCACCAACACCTCAGAAACTCATCACCACAAACAATTCAGCCACAAAGGCCCATGCAACTTCTCAGATATCCTCCGTTTTAAATGCTGTGTCTACCAAGGTCCCACTAACAGCCCAGCATCCCATCATGACTAACGCTTCTGCTACACAGACCACACCAACAACCTGGAGATTTACCACAGCCAAAGCTTCATTTACACAAAGTCTTCCAAGAACACCAAAGTCCACTACCCCACATGTCCTAGTGACTAAGGGTTTCCAGATTACACAAAGACTCACTTCTGCTCATATTACAGCAACACAGGTTGGATCTGTTCCCAGGACAACCACGCAATTTTATTCCACAACCATTTCTAAAGACAAAGAGAGCTCTTCTTCAGGTCAGTTAACATTGTTCAGGTTTCCAGAGTATGAGTCTCGTGCTATGGTGGAAGTTTGTGCCTGGCGTGATTTTTCAAGCCACTGGGTCTAGGGCTTGAACCATAGTCAGTCATATGGGAGTCCAGTGCCTCAGCCACGACACCACCTCCTGGCCTTGCTTGATCCTATCTTAAAATGAATGAATAAATGAACAGTTCAATAGCTTTTCTAAAATATTTGCATAATCCACCTCAACTGTCTAGAAAACAAACGTAATTGCCCTCAGATTAGCTCTTTACTTTCTTAGTTGTTTTATCAGCAGACAAGGGCCTAAAGGCCATCCTCCAGTTTCTCAAGCCAGTGCCAGTGAGACTGAAGCTCTCTACTCCCTACACTATGAGACCTTGGGAAGGCCCCTCAGTCACATATATACAAACCCAAACTCCAAATATAACTTCCTTTTAGTTCCCCTCTTTATAGAGGAACTTCAGTTCCTGCTTGCTTTTGACTGCTCTCCAATGGCATCAAGTAGTTGTTTTTCAACTCAGACATTTCATAACTGTTATCTTAAAGCCTATTTTGCCACTACTCAGATCTCTAGTAATTTAAACATTTCGGATCTTGTTAAAGTTCACTTGTACCATTTCCCCACTTCTGGTTTTTGTTTTTTTTTTTTCCTTCTAAGGGCAGTTACTGCCCTGAGGTTGGTCAACTTGCTTCCTCTTTGTTTTCAACCTTATCCTGTATGCATGAATTGATAAGTAGTACAAAGTATTGTTTTATATGCTTTTTTAATGTTTACATAAACAGTATATCATGCATTTCATTATCTAACTTTTTATACTCAACAAAGTACAAGTTTTGTAGTTTATGTGAATTCATTTGGACTTAGTTCACAAATTTTAATCCTTGAATGGGTTTTTTGACTTGTTAAATTTATTTTAAAATTTCATATCTTTATTCCTTGAAGGAAAGAGACAGAAACAGAGAGAAGGAAAAAGAAAGGGAGAGAGACAGGGACCCCCAACAGGGCATTTCATATCGCAGTCTACCCCAGTCTCAGCTGACCTGGATCACAGGCATGTTTACACACTGGGCATGCTCAGAGATGTTGCAGGATACAAACCAAGTACCATTCCCCTGTGAGTCCAGCTGCATTACCACTGTGCCTTACCTGACCCTGACTTCTTACATTTTTAAAATATGTCTAGGTCTTAACATTTTTAGGTTGAATACATTCTTTTTTTTTTCCCCTTAAGTGTGCTAGAGAGTGCATGCACCTGCCAGAGAGAAACAGAAAGAAAGTGAGAACCCCCTCATAGGTGATAGTCACACCATAGTCCACTTTCTCCATGTTTCCCTTCTTTTGGGGTTTTAGGCATACACACATACTCACGTGGTGTGTTTTTCAAGCTACCAGATCTAGGACTTGGACTGTGCAGTTGGCCATATGGGATTCAACCATCTTAACAAGCATGCCACCAGTGGCCCAAACATACTCCATTTTTAATAGAACGAAGCAAAGAGACGTAAGTTTCACTTTATATAAATTTATTATAGAACTCACTTAGCTGAAATATTTTTTTCTATAAAAAGTACAAGACAGTTATGGGATCAGCAGTTAGCGTAATGGCTATGTCGCTGACTCCCATGTAGTCGACCACGGTTCAAGTTCCGGACCCGGTGGCTTAAACTCATGCCACGCGTGTGCATGCCCAAGATCCTGAAAGGAGAATGGAGGAGAAGGGATGGCAGCGGGGGTGATTTCTCGCTTTCTGTCTCTCTGTCTCTGGTGAGCGCATGCGTCCTATAACAAAAACCTCTCAAAAAAAAAAAAAATGTACAAGACAGTTAAACCTAATGAGTCAGTTACTGTGATCAAAACATAACTTGGGATCAAAGTTTGTCTCATAAATTTCTTTTTTTTTTTGAGAGGTTTTCGCTATAGGGCGCGTGCACTCGCCAGACAGAGAAAGACATAGAGACAGAAAGCGAGAAATCACCACAGAGAGAGACATAGAGACAGAAAGTGAGAAATCACCCCCCAGGGGGGATGATCACGCCGCAATCCCTTCTCCATTCTCCTCTCGGGATCTTGGGCACGCATGCACACGTGCCCGGCGTGAGTTTTAAGCCACCGGGTCCAGGACGTGAACCGCGGTCGACTACGTAGGAATCCAGTGACATAGCCATTACGCCAACTGCTGGTTCCCAATTTCTTTAGGGCACAGTATAACACACCACATTTAGCTCTTACTGAAAAAAAATAATAGCTACCTCTTCCTGAGTGTCTATAGTGACAAATACTGTGTACCTTCCATCTGCCAACAGAATTCCTACAAGAATCTTACAAAATAACTACTTTAGAGACTTGGAGATTAACTTGCATGATTTATATTTAGTAATTAATTGAAAGGAAATACGAGTATAAACACATTTTTGTCTCTCCAAAGCCTTGCTTTTTCTGCTATGTAATACTACCTATCCTAAAGAGACTATTGAATAAATTTGTTCACCTCACTTAAGAAAGCAGCTTATTGGGCTAGGCTCATAGCCTAGGGATTAAGGAGCCAGATCCCACGTGTCCAGCTGCACAAACCCTGTGGTTTGTGCATGCCTGCTCATAATCCCAGTAGGATGAAGAAATGGAGGAGAAAGGATCATGGCATGACCACACCCTATAGGGGTTGCTTTATCTTTTTTTTATCTCTTTGTCTCTCTCTCTCTCTAGCAAGTTACATGTGCCTGCTGGCAAAATAATTCTACAAAACAGCTTATTTGTTATAAACGTGTTTATTTATAGATAGAATTATTTTTGTAATGCTTCATCCATGGTCATTGAAAGCTCTACATAATAAAGTGATACGGTAATTTTGAGTTTTGATAGAATCTGCTAGAAGCGACTTAGGTTTCTGATAGTAAGATTTGATCAATAGTTATTATTTTAGCTTAATCAAACTTGTTTGGTTTTACTTGTCATCTAGCCAAATTAGAAGGTGTTTGTTTTGGTATTCAATAATCCTTCATCACAATATATGCTTAAAATGGGACTCTGTTGAGGCAGTAGTATGTATATTACTCAATTTAATAAAGTATTATTGTTTCCATAGATTTATTTATAATGATTTATTCTAGATATGGAAATTGGAGTTGCTTTTGTGCTTTCAAGTGTTTATTAACCTGTATGTGTGTCTATGTACACTCAATTATCAGCAAATCATTGACTTCTTAAATTTTATTTTTGTGATTTTCTTTTCTTTTTTAGGTTCGATCTATTTTGTATATGGTAAGTCTGACTATCAAGCACTTAAAAGGATTTGTTATTATTATTGTGGGGTGCACAAATCATATTCCTGGAAGAGAATATTGTCTTTTAACTGTCTAAGGAACACTATCAAAATGCAGTGCTTATGGATACCTAAGAGAAAACGGGTAAATGTATTTGATCGACGTGTTTCATGGACACCATTAGGCACTCGGTATGTTCCTGTGTATTCCCGACCATGTTCTTGTTCCAAGGTAATTTTAGGACAACTAAAATCATTTGGCCGACCAAGCAAGAACTGTGTGCCTGTCGTCTCAGTGCATCGTTCTAGGGGCTGAAGAACCGCAAGGATACAGTCTTCCGGCCTCAGTATTTTATAATTAACTGTAAACTACTCCTTGACCATTTCTAGGTGCTCCTTTTGCCCACATCCTCTTCCTTTTTAAAAAATTCCTTGGGGGGCCAACAGGTGGCATGGTGATTGAGGTGTTGGACTCCCACATGGCCAACCATAGTCAAGTCCTGGACCTGGTGGCTTGAAAAATCACACAGCATGTGTGTGTACATGACCAAAATTCCAAGAGGAGAATGGAGAAGGGATTGTGGTGTGGCCATCCCCTCGGGATGAATTTTCATTTTCCCTCTCACTGTCTCTCTAGCCAGCACACATGTGCTATGACAAAAATCTATTTTTAAAAAAATCCTGGTGCTATAGACATGAGGCCAAAAACATGTCTGTGTGGCAGTTTCTTCTAGAATTTGGTTCAGTTTCTTATTTTGTCTATGAATGTATTATTTGATGTTAAACAGTAACAAGAAAATTAAACTCTTAAAGAGGATGGTAAAAGAAATGTTTAAGGAGTAATAACAGCTAACCTGGCATACTGATCAGTAATGTCCAATAGAAGAAACACTTTTATAAAAAACATTTATTTTTAAATAACGTATTAAGTACAAAGTTCCCTGTTTTATGCATGCATGACTTAGTCAAGTGATGATAAAATTGAAAACAGGTATTTTATTACTGTTATTACCATTATTAATTTTGTTTTTTTATATATATTTTCTTGTTTTTGTTTTGATTTGGTTTAGTTATTTTATATTTTGAATGAACTTCTCCTAAGCTAAAAGATTTATCTCAAAAGATTCCAACAGTTGGAATTCACTGTTCATCCTATATTCTAAATAGAAATAAATTACCACAAATGGAAAATCTCATGATTTAATGGTTTGATATTCACAGGAGTAATGAGGTTAATAGATGGAGCTTTTTCTTACCTGCTTAGTGAAATTCAGTGAAGGTTTCAAGTGCTTATATTTTCCCTCTGAAATTCTTGAAGTATTAACTGTGATTTCTCTGAAATCTTAGATCTAAGTGTTGGTTGTAATTTCAGCTTGTACTTAAAAGTAAAAAGCAAACTCCTTCCTTACTAAGTTTGATAAATAACGTTTTTTGTGATCTTACACTTGTAAGATATAAACTTGAAAAGTGTCTATTTCTTCAGTATATTCTGTGAATCAGATCATTTCCTCACTTTAAAGATAACTAAATTCTACTGCAAGGAAATTGCTTTTATTGATTATACCACAGTGCTATACCACAATGCAAGTGAATGATATAGATGATATTAGAACTTTGGAAGTGCTTGACTTTTTTTTCCCCCTATTTAATTCCATTAAGAGAGACTGACTGATCTTTACAGATCTTCCTACTTGCCTTATAAGTGGAGCTTGCATTGTGAATTTCAAAAATATTCTTTCATTGTCTGAATGTCAGTGTTCCTTAATTAAAAAAAAATTTATTCTTACCCTCTCTCCACCAAGGATCTTTTTGGATATGTTTTTCCTAAATCATCCCCCCAAGAAACTTGATATGTATTTTATTTATATTCTATATATCTGTTATATACTGTGTATGTGTACATATATCTATTTCTATATAAAGATATTATAATTATTGCCTTAATTACCAACTTGGGATGTTATCATCCCCAGTGAGAATACATGCTCTCTCTATATAGTTGTTTTGTTTTTTAAGATAATATATAGAACAAAGAGCTTATACTTTGGAGTTGGTCAGACCTTGGCTTGAATCCTGTTTTTTCATTTCATAATAAGTCAACCCAAGTGATTAATGTATTCTCCTTTGAGTCCCAGTGTGCTCATTTACAAGATGAAGATCTCGATTCCTATGTCAAGTCTTTGAAGCTTAATGTGATAGTGGATAAGAGCACTTTTAGCCTAGTGCCAAAGCTGAATAAGTAGTAGCTTAAAGAAGTCAGAGCATCGCCACTGTTCCTTTTCTAAGATGGATTTCTTAGGATTTTATCATTCTTCTGGTCATACCAAAGAGTACGGACAGTGTTTTATTCAGAGAACCTTTGTGTGTGTGTTTACTGTGGGCTGTGCAGAGGTTTCTGTGTTCATTATTTTCTTTCCTTCTCACAGTAACCTAGAATGGAGCATTTATTCATTATTTTCAGCTGAGAGAACAGTGGTTTTGAAGATGTGTAACTTGCCCAAGGTCACAGAGCTAGTAGGTACTAAGCAAAGGGAAATGATTAGTTTCTGTGGTATGTTTGGTCTGGTCAAATTGTAGTATAGTCAATAAAAAGCAATTTCCCTTGTTTTAAACAATTCGAAGGAATCCAGAGGCACACAATAGCCAATGATAATGGCAGGACATTGAGAGTCCAGGGAATCTTGCTCTAGGGAGTTGGTATTAAATCTGCTTTTCTAACTCTGCAAACACATTCCTTATCCATTTACCAAAGTGTCTTTTCAGTGTGACTTTAGTTGTCCACAGGCCCTTTATTCTGTTGTATTAAATATGATTATAATCAAGAACAAAACCTATCCACAACTTTCTCCTGTTTTAATAGCACATGGACTGCATTCCCACTTGGTCAGATATACAAGGGAACCAACCCTTTTGAGCTGAGGGAGCCCACATTTCTTCAGAAAACCAAACCAACGTTATTTAATTAAGACCCATGCTTGTAGATAGAACTTAAACTTGGCTTCTTTGGGACTAGAGATGGTAACCTATGTATTAATGTACTACTCATCTAATATAAATTTTATTTAAATAATTACAGGTATTTTTATTGAAAATATAAACAGTTAAAACAAAGACTTGATCTGGCACTAGAAATAAGTTTCCTTGGCGATAAATTGACTCCTGTTTTTGGTCTCTTTTTTTTTTTTTTTTTTTTTTTTTTTTTGGGGGTTTTTTATTCAGGG